TTCATATTTGCTTTTTAATATGGTCAGCTTTTTTTTTTTTTTTTTGGTTTTTCTTCGGTACCGGGAACTGAACTCACGACCTTGTGTTTGCCAGGCAGGCGCTTTTGCCGCTGAGCTAAATCCCCAGCCCCTTAATATGGCCAGCTTTACAAGTCCTAGTTGAAGAAAGTCATGGCAAATGCTGGAACAACCAGCAAAGTCAGCAGAGTCCATCTAAGAATAATATTATTTAAAATGTCTTAAGTGCTCTTAATAAGGAAAAACTTAATTTTAATATGTTAAGAATAAGACAATGCCTACACAGATTTTTTCATCAGCAATAATACAGATTATTTAGTGACTGGGAAACTGTTAAAATTTGTTTATGAACTTGTGCCAAAGTGGCTGCTGCTTACTTAGTTGCAGATGCTTCACGGTGTCAATTCCTTCAGGGTCTGGGATTTTGATATGCCCATACTAACGCATTCTAACAGAGAAGAACCTGTGCCTTTCAAGAACATATCTTTGTCTCTTAAGTAAGAGTGCTCATAAAAATAAATATAAAGGATATAAGCAGTTACTACTTAGAAAGTCAAACTCAAAGACATTAACCAATGGCTCCTCAATCTTGCAACAACTGCTACCAACACTAATATAATTAAAACATAGCCAGTGCACATCTTGACAATGTAGCGTGATCAACCTCCCCTAATATTTCCAGCTGTTTCTCAAATAAATCAGCCATTCATGGCTGTATTATTAACATTCGTGTCATATGCAAACCCTCACGAGCTACATGATGAACTTTCCTTCATTATTCTCATGAGCTTTGCTCTTAAAACACCTTCATTTTTAAGTGTGTGTGTGTGCGCACATGCACACGTTTACGTGTCTTTCTGGTGATTAAATACAGCACAGCTTTCTCAGAGCATTATTGACCTCTGACTGTGAGAATGAAACAATTCATGAAGACATCTAATTCCGCAATGATACTCACAGATCTACAGCTCTGAAAAGTAATAGCACAAGTCCTTTTTAGCATGTTGGATAAAGAATGAGCTCTAACTGTTTGGCTTTATTTTTAATAGACTAAAATAAGGTATTTCAATAACCAACAAATATCTTGCCCCTTCTTTACCTGTACCTCGTGACCAACCTTCTTTCCGGAGGCATGGAAAGCACGTTCTGCTCAGGGCAGAAGACTGAAAGTCACAGCCCACAAGACTTCCAAGGGGCTGCTGCTACTGGATTCTTGGGTCCCATTGTTTATATCTTTCAAATAAAAAAAAAATGAAATGGCTTCTATTCCCATAAAAATATTTAGTTCAGTGATGATATATAAGTAGTGCGTAAGTTCCTTAGAAATGATTTTCTGGATTCCGAAGTGGAAATATTAAAAAAACAAAGCCCTGAGTACACCAAATGGGTTTTTCAGGAAAAAAAATAGGCTGATGAAATGCTGTGCTCTTTCCTAAGTATGGGGACAACATTTCAGCCAAGTCTCCATATCTGAGAGTAGAGAAGCCAGTACATTTCTCGTCTGCATCCTTAAATTTAAGAATTTAAGAAGCAAGAAACCTTGAGTTATCTAATTAACGACCAATAAAAGGGAGCATCTACAAAAGAATATTGAATTTGCCATAGAAAATTAATTCACAGTATAGTCCTCACATGTCTGAATTTTTGGATTGAAATTAGCAATGTGAAAGAATTTTGAAATATATCAAAAAGCTAGATTCACAACTAAGTATACATTTTATAAGAAGAAACAATAGTTGCCAATGGAAAGAAATTTTCCCCACAATGTACCCTGAACAAAAGCATTCAATAAAAATTAGTCTTTTCTTCACCAGTGGTTTTTCATATCATCTACAGAGAAAGGGAGAACAGGCGTTTATTTTTGTTTGCCCATTCTTTGACTTGTGTCTCATGCATCTACGCAAGATGTGTGGTAGAAAATGAACTGAAGTGTGTGCTGTTGAGTCTATAAAATTTAAATACAATCTTTCCTTAACTTCTGGATTTGTGCATGCATCTGAACAAATATCTCCTTATAACAAATTTAATAAACAGTAATTAGGTTACATGGGACAAGAAATCATCACATCTTCTCCACAACAGAATCCTTGTGAGAATATTTCTTCTCATTCCTTCTGCATTTAACAAGGACACTTCATTTTTTTTCCAAATACAAATCAGTGATTAAAATATATTGCCAAGTAATTGAAACAACCTCTATATTCAAAAGAAGTTTCAATAAATTTTTCAACCATAATATTGAAAATAACAGGAACATATCTGGACGATATTTTTCAAATTATAATAGCTTTAAAATATTCTAATTCCTACCTAGAAATATGTATTTGCAATAAACTTTCCTGAGTTTAGAAGTTAAAATTAGTGTATAGACATTTAGACTTTCAATAAGGGCATTTATATTAAAAATATTGCTAAAGGCAGTAGGTGAATTAATAATATCAATGCTTTCCTTTTTTATTTTGTGTTTAATTCTAGAGATTTGAGATATTTTCTTGAGAAATTTCTTGAGATATACTGCAAGTTGGTATCAGAAACCAAATTATGACCTATATAAGGAGAACTAAGGAAGTGGAGGGATTCTTTTGCACATACAAATGATAATGCAGTTGACGAAGAGACATCAAACCTATGATTTAAAGACGGCAAAGTGCTATTTTGTTTTGTTTCTATTTCAAGTTGCAGAGTTATAGAGAAAGCCCTTTTGTAGGGCAAGGTTATATTATCAGAAATTGAATCACTTCTAAGTGAAACATGCTATATAGTGTGAATGAAATTGTCTTAGTGTCACAGTTCCTGAACTGTGCACTTCCCTTGTATTTACACTTGGAGGGATGACAATTTCTTTTTTTTATTTCTAAGCTTTTGCTTACAGGAGAAGGACAGATGTTTTAACACCTTCTTTCAGCAAAACATCAGTGATTTACTTTTTTTTTTTTTTGGTTTTTCTCCGGTACCGGGAACCGAACTCACGACCTTGCGCTTGCCAGGCAGGCGCTTTTGCCGCTGAGCTAAATCCCCAGCCCCGATTTACTTTTTTGACCTGAGGTTACAAATTTGCTATGACCTCAGATACAAACAAATTAGCACATAATTTCATTGCCTTTAAACTACACATTCTATGGAATAACTGCAATCTAATAAATTAGCAAAAATATTATTAAGGCATGAAAGGCCTTTAAATGTTTGTGTATTCATTTGTAACTAACTCTAATTTTCTGAAGGAGGAAGCATCTCAACAGAAGTTGGAATAGTTTTGCTATTATGTTGCAGATATTTAGTTCTTTTACTTATTTATTTATTTTATGTTATTTTGTGTGTGTGTGTGGAACACAACTCAGGACCTTCTGCTTTAGAGGCAGCCATTTATGCCGCTGAGCTACACTCCTGGCTGTTTTGTCCTTTTAGAGTAACCTATTTGCAGTTGTGACTCAAGATATTATGCTTTTATTTTGTTGCTGAAAGCTTTCAAAGATCTTTATATTAATCAGTGATAAGGAAAGATTCCTGTACATACAGGTGTTGTTGAACTAACATAAATTTTGATAAGTAATTTTTTGGTCCCATTTAGCATTATGAATTCTAAACTTTAACTTCTCTCTGTGTGGAAAGCAGTAATACAATGTAACATCCTATAGCAAAAATTAAGTGTAAATTTCCTTGAAAAAAGAAAAGTATTAAGACATCCTTTTGAAATTATTGAGCCTGTATTCCTAAATGGAACTTCTAGTATCTGCTGATGTACAGTAATTCCATAACAAATTTCATGATTTTATTAATATTTTTATTATGTACCATAAAATCATAACAACTCAGAATTTCATAAAATTAAATCCGGTCTAAAAATCTTACTTTACGTGAAAAAGGTGTTCTTTTAAATTCAAATTTAGCATGTAGAAGCCGAAAATATTTACATTGCATCTATTCCACATTTTTCTGATATACAGAATTAATTTTTGTATCTATTCTGTAAAAATTGTTGTCTAAATGTGATATTTGTGAGAAAAGATCAACTTTAGAATTTATTTATTTTTAAGAAGTTAAAATAGGAAATAACTTTGAAATGATGAACTATGCTAGACTCTAATTAATGGATAAATACTTTTGCCTTGAGCATAGAAATTAATATCACAATTTGAACACTTTTGAGAGCATTTTAGTTCAGGAGAATCAACAATAGTTGATAACATGGCCAACCATGATATCAATATTTGAATATAAACTCATTCTAGCCTTACCTATCTTCATGTCTAAGTAGGGGACCATAAGTTATTTTCATTATTTCTCATAAAAGTGAAAGTCCGAGTTTACATTTTTTTGTATGTTCCAAATAAACCTAATAATGTTTTTAAAATCAACTTACAGTTCTGATTCACATTTTCCTAAGATATTCTTTGAATGCTAATTCCTAAAAAACAAAGGAATGAACAAAAAATGAATACACATACACTAATTCCAATGAAAAAGGCTGCATGCTTCTGAATATCTATATCTATGTCTATGTCTATGTCTATGCCTATGCCTATCTATATATCTTCTTTTCAAGGCTTGCAGGTAAGAATAAGTGTGTGTACCAAAAAATTATTTTCTTATTTCAGTTTAAAATTACTCTTTACTTTATAATTTTGCTGTACATTTTCTGAGAGAATTAAGTGTGGCCCATCCCATAATCCATGACCCATGAAATTCAGTTATCCTCTGAGTTGTACCCAAAGAAGTATAGTTTAACACCAAGTACTAATTTCAAAGAACTCCAGTCTTTATTTACTTTTCTCAAATGCACGTTAATAGGATGCAAATCATCACTCCAAAAAATATCTTCAGAATCTATTCTCTCTGCTTAAATCAGAAACTGCACCAATATCAACCCACTCACACAAGTCCCTATAGTCTTACTCATATCCTGTTTAATATTTAAAATGTATTTTAATTTGGACGCAGACCAGCAGGCTATATCTAAATTTTATTTCTCTTACTTTTTGTAGCGTTGCTGAAAGTAAAAGCTCTCTACTTTTTTGTGATTATTAGAAGACAGGTTTTGGGGAAGATAAACACAACCATACATGAAGTACCTTTTTAACTTCCCACCAGGTAAGTATAAATTGCACATTTTTGTATCTAGAGATCAAAATATAATTACAGGTATTATTTTACTGTTGTACAGATCCTAAAATGTGAGGTACGTTTCCAGTGCCCTTTTGCAAAATATTTACTTTGCTGTGTTCTTCCATCTCTTCTACACATGGTCCTTCCCACCCAAGTATCCAAATGATCCCAGGAGAACTTGCTTTGCTGCTGCAGCCTGCATGCTGAATTGGCTTCATACAATTTCAACTGAAGCCTCCAGCTTATTTGCATTTTGATAGATAAGTAATGTCTTATTGAAAACAAATCAATAAAGCCTATTAAAATTCCAGACACCAAAGCAAGCTAGTAGGATAGCTATTTTTGAGCAAGAGGTTTTGAATCTAGTTGATACTGTAGAAGTAAACATTGCTTAATTGTGCATAACTAAATATCTGTGAAAAATAGAGAGACATTAATGAAAATAGTCTAAATATTACAAGTGTTTATAGATTGTTGCATCTGTCCACAGTGCTATCATATTTGGGAGACTGCTTAAATATTGATTTAACCTCAATTATAGGCCTGATCTTCTACACACAATTCTTTCTTCTAAAATCTCTGATACTGAGCACATTTACCAGAAATTATAACTACTAATTTCTGTTACTTGAATCATTTTCAGTATACTGGAAAATAGTACTTTTTTCTTGCTTCCCCATAACTTCCTTTGAAATGTCAACCTCCTCTTCTTGCTCCTTTATTTTTATCAAGTGGTGACTCTCACAACGAAGGTGTGTAAAACCACACTGCATGTGAGCCCATTCTGTTCTCTCAGGAATGTATTGAGCATTAACTAAGCACCCTGACATTTCTAATCTCTGCCCACAGAATCTCAGATGTATTCCCAGCCCAAAGGGTTGGACACCATCTAAAGTCCAACAGGAAAGACCCAAAGTGTTAATCTTTCCTCTTAATTGTCTGGTAACATAGGCTAATTTTTTAACAATTGTCAGGAAAACCATACACTGCTCAAATAGTTGGAGTAAGGTATGCAAACCTTATAATTCTAGCTGCTTTAAGAAAATTTAGCTATTTCCATCGCGTGACAAGGGTTGACAAAGTAATTGTAATTGCTGCAATTCCATTTTTTAAAGATGACACAGGCATCTGTGTTTTATGACACATGCCTTCTAAAGTAACAAAATACCCAGGAGTAATGCAAGGAAAATTCCACACTCTGTAGCTCACAAAAGGAAAATTTTAAAGCAATGCTTTGAATGTGGGTTAAATCATTTACGTTTCCTTCTGGTACTAAAGGAAACAGTTCTAGACAAGAAATTGGCTTCTGAGAGTGATGGGAAAATGAAGCCAGCATTTCTGTGCTGAGAATGGAGTGGTGTTTTCACACACTGGACTGGGAACTTCTATGGACTCCTAATACACTTGGAGTGAAGGCTGTGCGAAGACTGAGCATGTGTTTTACTGGTCTTTGAATGTCTTCCCAAGTAACTATAGCAGCAAAATCGGCAGCACCCGGAAAAAAGACTTCACACTACCATCCATAAAATTCATAATCTGGAAACACAAATAAAACAAAACACAAATCACAAAAAGGTAGTAACCAAAAACAAAGTGACAGCCATTCAAAAAATAAAGAAATTATAAAACTATAGAATAAAAAGCTGAAAAATATAAATGTAAGAGCATCATACACAATCATATATATTATAAAACAATATTGATATGAGAAATTTATGTAAATTTAACGATATTAGGGCTGCCAAAAAATGTGAACACACTTTGTGAAAAGATAAACTTCCGTAAATATTTTTAAACTATACTTATTGGGACACAAGATTAATATAAGTTATTTTGACCTCTATAATTACAAGATGTGCTCAGCGTGGTAGCCTTTAGCTCCCAGACATTTACTACTTCTCTTTTCCTGAAGTGTGTAGACATTTTGGCAGACGCTGTACAGTATGACAGCTTGCTTGTTGCAAGGAAAAGTGGCACTTTACTTCTATCACACGTGTCCTCTTGCCACCAAGATTTAAGGTTTACTTTTTCAATACTTGAATCCAGGGAGGAGATTGTGACTGAACTGATAAATAGGTTTATGACAGAAGAGACTATGGCAAAGACCTGCAAGTGAGTGCTCGGCAGCTTCCTGGTTCCTGCATTTCGAGGATGTAAGAAGTCCAGGTAAGTCTCACCATGGGGGAGACACTAGACAAGTGAGAGAGGAAGCTACCATGCGTGTCCAGTCAGCTTGAGCCCTTAGAGGAATCTAAAGCCCTACCCACAATCTGGGGGTGAGTGATGGAGGATATCAAGCTGGAGAAGCTTCGCTAAACACAGCCAAGCACAGCCATGAGCAAGATGATCTCATCTTTTTTTGAAAAACTTTTCTTAGTGCATGTGGGAAGAACATAACAATAATGATTAAATTCCTTGCATGGAGCTGGTACACGGAGCAAACTCGTCTCAACACTTCCCACGTCCCCTTCCTCTCCACGTGCTTCCCCGCTCTCCCTCTCTTGCTCTCCTTCCCATTTGCTAAAGATCTAGCTTCTCATTTCCTGTTATTTGGCAACAGCTGTGCTCTTCATTTACATATTCATTTATGGATATTAATTGATGTTATACTAATTAATTTTGCTCTTCATCTATACTTTTCATATAAGAAAACCATGTGATATTTAAGCCCATGTGTCTGATTTTATTCACTTCCAGTACGGTTTCAATTTGCCTCCATTTTCTTACAAATTCCTCGTTTATGCTTCTTTATGGCAGCATAGAACTCCACTGTGTACAAATATTCTCTTTATTCACTTGTCTCTTGATGGACAGAGAGACTGCTACCTTTGAGGTATTCTCTTATTTTATAATAGATAATGTCTTAGTTAATGTCCTCATCAGTGGAACAAAATGTTCCTTATTGGAGTGCTAAAGGAAATGAGGTTTATTCTTGTTCACTTTTCAGTGCAAAGTGGGTGGACTGGCAAGGTGGCATGGCAGAGGAGAATGGCAGAAAGGAATGTGAGAGGAGTAACTGCTCACATTCTGAGGCCAGGCAGCAGAAAGTCAAGGCAGGGCCTGCTCATGCCTGCAGTGACCTGCTTCTCTGGACCAGGCCTTGTTTCTAAAGCAAACTCTGCTCTAAGATGCCTATAAATCCCATCACCTTCCCCTAACATAATGTGAGGCTTTACAGCGACGTTTAGATATAAACCATAACAAATGCCTAGATCATATACTAACTGAAATAAAGTAATACTCCATGTAAGAAGGAACTGGAAATTAATCAGAGTGAGAATTAAATAAATTGGGATGCACAATTAAGGAATTCACAAAGAATTTAAGAACATGAAAAAAAGGCATGGAGGCACATGTCAATTTCTGCCTAATACAAGTTTAGATGTGGAGAACAGAGAAAATGGCAAAGATGAAATAAATGAATATGAGCTAGTTAAGACTTCCAGAGCTAAAGATATGTATCCATGTGTCCTCAGAAATAAAGTAATATTTGGGTAACATTTTGCCCAGATGCATTGCTAAGTGGTACACTGTGCAGTGAAAATTTGTGTGGAAGACCTAAACCTCACATCTGACTGGGTTTGGAATCAGAGCTTTTAGAAATGTGGGAATTTAAGTCAGGCAGGCCATAGCAGGGACCTACTAAGCCTGAGTGGTATCCTTATCAGAAAGAGAAATCTGGACTTAGCTGTGAGAAAAGACGACACGGAGACACCAGAGGAAGGCAGCCATCTGCAGATCAAGAAGAGCTACTCCTAGGAAACCACACAGCCTAACATTGTGAAGATAGACTTGGAATTAAAAGTAGATAAACAAAGCAATAACTGAGTTACAAAGAGAGATTGTGAAAATATAGTCAGAGTCAGCAAAAGACGGAAAACAGCAAATTTAGCTGACCAAATTGGAAAAATATAAAGAATCAGGAGAAAAAATATTTTCATAAATGTATGAACAATTGCCTACAATTGGAGAGATATCAATAGCCATAACCTTACAACCAAGAAATCAAAGTTAAAAAGTTATGTTTAAGTATATATGGACATTCTGAAAACTCTAGTATACATCATGTTATAAAAAATGGCTTACAAGGGCTGCAGATATAGCTGAGCAGCACAAGTGCCTTCCTGGCAAGCACAAGGTGCTAAGTTTGACTCCTGGTAACCCTCCAAAAATAATTGGCCTTTAAATTTTAGGTTTGGATGCATTCAGATCACTTTATGGATACCGAAATACTAGAAATACAAAGAAATAGAAAAATTAATTAGAAATTTTAGCAATTAAGGATATAGTAAATAAACTAGTAAACTTAGAAATTTAAAACCTAAAGATTCCTAATAATACATGAGTTTAGGAGAATTTATGATGGCAATTATTATAGTATATTTAAAACACAAATAGCATATTTAATAATGGGGATTGCAGCTGAATCATTTTATAGAGTCTAAAGTGTATCATGTATGAAGAATACTTATTTTTTAAAGAATTTCTGAAAATGTTAACCCATGAAATAGAAAAATATTTAAAATAAATTATTAAATAAAAAATAAAAGTAAAATTTAATGCAAAAAATTTAATGCAATAAGAACTGCATGCTTAAAATAAGATGTTGCCACAATTAAAACATTTTTGGAATAGTAGTGAAGTTCCAGTAACAGAACTATTAATCATAATCAAAAGGGAAATATTTGGTGTTCATGTATCCATCTAGGACATTTTTAAATGCTTTGTATTTAGTTCATGCAATACTTTCATGACTGTATCAACTTCGAACTCCACGTTTGAGATGAGAAAAAACCAGGGGTAGGTTTTGTAATTTGATAAAGTCAACACAGGAAGTGTTTGAACCATGATTTTATTCTTAAAAAAATATCCTTCAGAAAAATTGAAGGAGAAAAGAGAAATAATACAATTTTTCTTTACATTTCAAGTAAATCCTGGGGAGTAAATAAGTGGTGAAATATTTTTAAATTCTCTAGAGAGAATTTAATGTAATTTGTAAGCAAGCACTTATATTGTATTTTCTTAATACATGTAAATATTTTTATGATGTTAAATGCTATATATCTGATAATGAAAAATAATGTATATAATAAAATGCTCTTTTGTATCTGAAGGTATTTGCTAGATCAAAGTTATTTATGAATTCACTTCACTGTATTTTTTTGTTTGTTTCTCATATACTACTCTTTTTAAATAAAAAAAGGAAAAATCTTTGTGAAGAAATTATCTTCTAATTTATTTAGTGAAACTAGCATAATTGTTATAATAAAGGCAAGTAACAGTAGTATATTAAAGAAACTCAATGTTCAAAATCTTTGTTAAGCATAATGTGGAAACTTTGTAAAATTTTATCAAGTTTAAATAAAGGACTGTATTTTAAAATGGACCATGATCAAAGAGATTCTAAACATGATTGCAAGTTTGCTTCATTACATAATTTCTGAAGTTGCATTTATGGAAAATAATCCACTAGCAGAAAAATGAAAATAGTAGTTATAAAAAAAACCTAAATGCAATTAAAATGTGACATTCATGTTTATATGTAGTGACAAAAGCAAATGTGCAATTAAATGTAATCCTTTTAAAGGACAAACTAAGATAGATATTTACCACAAGGTCTCTTTTGTTCATTTCTCAATATTATGAGATGATCATTAAGCTATATTACAATTATAAAATAAATAAGACATACGATATGGAATGAGGAAAAGCAGGCTATATTTTTTGAATTCATAAAATTTAAAGGACAAAGAAAAAATAACTACCAAAAGTAATATTATTTTTCAAGTTCCTGGACATCTCATCAAACAACAACAGCAATAAACTTAATATGAAATAAAGAATGAAATAGCGTTGAAATTAAAAATTAAGGCATTTAAATGTAGCACACAGTGTCCATCACATGCATAGGTAACCAGCAATGAAATTTCCCTAAGAACAATGTAGCAAAAACCTAGACAGTCTTTTTAGAAACAAAACAAAAAAGAAGATAGCAAAGTTCCTCACGGAAGGAGGCTTCATGAAGGCCCAGATGGGAACAAGATAATTGCAATGCAAAATCCTAACCACAGATACATTTGTGTAAGTAATAAGAATTTGAAAATTGTGAAGTGAAGAGATGCAAATGTCAATGAAGGCAAGAGAAAATTTAAAGAAGAAATTTAAAGAACCAGTACATGAGTTAAAACTTTCATTCACGTGCAGTGAGGGACATAAAAGTTCAAAACACAATCAAGAATGGCAGATCAAACTGATGAGTTAAGGGTCAATGAAATATAAGGCCTGACACCGGCATGCACTTCCAAAGCTAGAGGAGAGATATCCCACTGCAGAGGGGATAAGGCCCTAAATAGTCACAAGTGCTTGGAAGATCAACTTGGCCGCATGTAATAAGTATGAATGTGTTAATGCTGAAAAGTCATCAAATCTGCTTGTGTGAGTACAGCCTAGGGTGTGAGGCCAGGCCGCAGACACTGATAGGAAGTGAACTTATTTGGCATTTCAGAAGAATTTTCCCAGGAATTTATAATATCAGAGAAGTTTTATGTCAGTTAGAGCAGGGAAGTGCAACTTAAATCACTGGGGTATTTTACAGAAAGCAAGAACATGGGTCATAGTCGTGAGCAACTCCCGTCCAATGGGGAAAGGAAACTGGTGGATAGTTTGCGTGTTTATCTTGATCAGAAAACAAAATATATTTATTTTCTTCTAGAAGCAAAATACATTAATTTCCTTCTAATTTTGCAGAAGAATAAAAAATAATGAATCAATGAGGGAACAAACTTTCTTTATGATGAAGAGCTTTTTACAGTTGGGCTGATAGAAAATGAAATGAATACAATGTAGAAATTTAAACTAAATTACTGCCATTTTATCCAACACACACAGGCTGAAAAACTGTGCATTTTATACTGGAATAGCAATTAAGTAATACCTCTTGACTGGCATTTATAGTAAGCGTTAATTGGTTCCAAGAGCATTTCAACTAATGGGTATCTCTCTTTAAGTATTATGTTAGTATCTCTACTTTTTTATTTCCACTTTGTCTTTGCTCTGGTATAAATCAGCTTGTGTTAGTTGTAGAAAATTCAGTAGTTGTCATTATTTAGTGACATCTTCTGCTCTCTTCTGTAATTATTTTAGGCAGTTTCCCTGTAACATTTAACTTTCTTTCAGTTGGACCCTCTGGGCAAGAGTGCATAAACAATGAAACAAATTTCCCTGCTGTGGCACCAGTTTGGCAACTTCTGATCCACCAGTTCACTGCAAGGAGAGAAGACCTCGCTTCATAAGTGTTCAGTGTCGTGCTTTGCTGTGGTTTCCAGATGTTTTAATTACATAGCCTAACGTAGAACTTGAAGATGAACTTCAAAATTGAGCAGAAAAGTTACAGACAGCTGGTGTGCTGTCAAGCCTAATAAGCTGAACCTCTTGCATTACCAGCAATTTACTTTCATTGTCCTCAGCCCTCAGCATGGCCAAGATTAGGAGAGAGGGTCAGCGGTACCCACATGGTAAACCCCACCGAAGGAAGCGAAGTAAACGGCAATGTTCATTTATTTTTACCATTGATGAATGACACTTGATAGGAATATTTTTAACATATTTGTTTGAAAATCGTTCCTGACACATAGGTGACATTTTTGATTTGTAACATTATCGCAGGACAAGGACTCATTTTCTAACCGTTCCTTGCTGCAGTCCTCGCTGTCCCTTTGTTATTACTTGTCACTGGGGAACCCTGATTACATATGTTCTTCACAGTATGTGTATATTACCCAGAGGCTAATTGTTCTTCTCAGTTAGTCTTCTAAATTGGAATTTCTGCTAAAATGCAGTTTACATGTGTATTTCCCTATGACTTAATTGAAGTATCTCTGTAAAGTTTGTGAATCAAAATTGTTGATGGTTCCTAGTGTATTAGTCAGCTTTGCTGTCCCTGAAAGAAATGCATGACCCCACAATGTAAAGGAGCAGAGGCTTGAGGTGACCCTTGCTTTCATCTTTGTAGACGATGGCCATCCGGCTGCAAAGCAGACATAGCATGGCAAAGGGTGTGGCTGAGGACAGCTGCGCATGCCTTGGCAGCCAGAAACACAGAGCGAGTGAGAAAGTGGAAGCAGCACGATTCAGGATAGCTGGAATCCCCAAAATGAGCACAATTGTTAGGTACTGCAAACATGTAATAATAAAAAATAGAATTAAAAAAAAAAAAAAGAACTGAAGAGCTGGGGACAGGCCTAAACGGCTTCAGTTCATGGTCAGTGACCCATGTCGAAGGAATCCCTAACAGTACATTTAGTGCTAGGTGTCCGTGGTGCTGACAGTTTCCAAACACTCTCCCTCTGAACAGATTCTTCTGATCTGAAGTAATGTCCGAGGAAATCCATACAAGTAAGCCTTGGTCTCTCCTCGTAAAAGGCTATTTAAATCCTTTTTTTTTTCTTTTTTTTTTGCCCAAACTTTTAAATACTATTAAATGCATATAAATTCTACAAGTTAATGGGTTCCACTAGGACATTTTCACACATGCATGTATAGTGATTTCATTGTTTCCACCACTTTTACATCTGCTTTTACCCTCTGCTTTCTCACCACTCCCCCTGACCCAAGTCACTGCACTCTCCTACTTTTATGTAATTTAGCTACACTTTCTGTTCTGTTTTTCACATGTGAAAGAAACCTTGCCAGACTTACTTTTCTGTCTGGCTTCTACTGCTCCATAGGATAATGTCCAGTTTCATCCATTTTTCTTGCAAATAGTAAGACTTCAAACTTCCTTAAAGTAAATAATTCTCCAGTGTGTACATGTACCTCATTCATGTATCCATTCACATTTTTGGCTAGTTAAAAATTGCCACATTAAACATGGGGGTGCAGGTGATCCTTCTCTATGCTTGCTTCATTTCCTGAGATATATGCCTGGGCATGGTAAAGGTGGTATGGTTATTCTAGAATGTAAATATTCTTTGCCATTTGATTTGTTAATCTACATTCTCACCAACAGTGTATAAATATTTAATTTCCCAAGCATCTTTGCAAGTATATGTTGTTTCTTAATAATAGCCATCCTGACTGTGGTGAGATGGAATCTCAGTATAGTTTTCATTTGCATTTCCCTGATGGCTAAAGAAATTGGGAATTATATATACTTATTGGCCATTGGTTATTCTTTTCCTGTGTCTCTTTAAATAATTGCTCATTTTTGATTGGCTTACTTCTTTCACTGTTTTATGAGGGGGTATATTTTCTTTAATGTCCCCCAGTATGTGTAAAATGGAATATCTTACAAAGTATTTTTCTATCTGTTTTATCATTATTTTTATAATGGTGTTTTATCATTATTTTATATTCCCATACTGCTATCCTCCTTTTCAACTGATAGCTGGTATACAATCTGACTTCAAAGTCATAACATGAACATTGCTTTCATTGCTTTTACAATAATTATTAATATATTTTTGTTTCTATAATTTTAAAGTGCAATGGAAAATTATTGGCTAAGCCCATAGTTTTTTCTTCTGCCATGAAATAAACTTTCTATTCATAACAATACATTTTATGCCTATGAGATTAAAAATATTTCCATTTTAAGATTTGGGGGATTTTGTTATTTATTTGATTGGATTGTACTTATTTTTATTAGTCCATGTTTTCAGTGCATAATGTTTACATTCCACGCGAGAACTCAGTGAATGGACACAACAGCTCTTAATCTCTGGATCCCATCCACTTTCCTTCTACCTTCCGCCATCCTCTTTCCTCCTGTCTCCATCTCCTGCTCCTCTTCCTCTTTGCAGTAGATGTATTTCCTCTTCCCTGTTTTTTATTCTGTGCTTTAGTAAGAATTTGAGGTTCTCATATAAGAGAAACTATGCCGTATTGAAACTTGTGAATAGATTCATAGGCTGCTTCCAAGATTTAGCTATGATGAGTTATCATTGTTTTAATTTCTCAAACTTGGAGTTACATTAGTGATAATATATTCTTTCAATATAGGAAAATTTAATTTTCATAACAATAAAAATTTAATTCATTAAAATACACATAACTAACTTTAGAGAGTCACTGACTATGTGACATCAAAGAAATTTCCAATTAATCCAAATTTAGATGCCAAATGCTTTTCACAGAAAGCAAAGAAATTAAACAAGTTCACCATTATTGAAATTCACTTGCATTCACAAATATATGTGACATGATTTGATAATGTTGCAAGATGTGTATTCAGTTAATTATCTACGGATGAGAACCCTTGCTTTTACCATTTTAGCACTCCAGCGATTGAATAGACTAAGGGAAGAGAAGATATCTAAAAACAAACATAGTTTGATTGTGGGTGTTAATTACATGAAATAGATTTTGAAAATGTATTTGAAAGAGAATGGTGCAGTGTCACATAGAACTGTAGAAATGTAGTTTCACAGACCACCAGGCATTTGTGGAAAGCATTCACAGCTACGGTACAGCTACTTGTGTGCACCATAGAGGTGCTGCTTTGGAAGGACTCGATTCTGCTTTACTCTGAAGAAGAATAAGTGAGTAAAGACGGCTTGCTAGTGTGCAGACATATTGAGCACGTCTGCTGTACAGTGTTCTGAGTTAAGGCGATCTCTGATAACTGGGATCTTATAGGCTCTGGGGAAGGTGGAATCCCTTCTGCTTTGGGTGGCAGAGTACAGTGTTGGTTCTGTTATGCAGGTGAACTTAGGTGAAGTTGCTTTCAGGTGATTCACACTAATTTCACTTCAAGTTACTCACTGTCATTTAAAACAAATTGGCCTGAACACTCTTATTTATCCTTGCAAAAACCAAGAGTAACATACAAAGATTACAGACAATAAAAATTTGACTTTTATAACAAACTATAAGAGCAAGCCTCACCAATTTCACTTGATGGTTTAATATATATGATTCATTTTAAATTGCCCATTGGATTAAATTATAGACCATTTTCTTGCTTTCACCTGAAATGTGTAAGTGAATTACAATTGCAGTGTGTTGCCCAAGCATTTTAGTTTTTAAATACAATCAATTTTGATATTTTAAAAATACTTAAAAATGAGCTTTGCCTTCCTACTAATTTCAGCAAAGTAGTAATTTGACATGAAATGAAAATGCAAAAATTATAAGGAATAGTTTCATTTCTGTTCTTTTCCGTGAATTTGATGATCAATTATCTCATAATGAAATCTTTTGGAAGAAAATACATTTTAAATTTTCACTTTTTCCAAACCTATAATTCCTGTTTCTCTGTATAATTTTCATAGACATTTTCAACCATAAAGCACTTTTTTTTTTTTACATAAACACGTTTGTTCTTTGGATGTTTGTTTATTTTTTAGTTATGTGTCCTGATATGAGTACTGTCTTTCATCCTGTTTCATGAAAATTCGCTTCACAAATTTTTTCCTTGCTGTTTATCCTTGTTGTTATCCCAGCATTGTTTTGTACAAGGAGTTTCCTGAAATGTGTATTTCAAAATTTTGTAATTAAAATGAAACCGCTGGAAAGCTTGATTGAATGGAGTATTTTTCAACCATAGAGGAGAATTAAATCACATCATTCACTGGAAAATAGACGGAACTGGAGATCATTGTAAGTGAAATAAGGCAGATCAGAAAGACACGTTTCCTGTCACATGGGGAATTTAGATAGAAGGAAGACAACAGGAAACCAGAATGCAGAATCCGAGGGAAGGGGAAGGAATGGGTGAGGGGATCAAAGGGGATAAAGAAGGCAGGTAGGGTGAAGTACCTGCTGGGCACAAGCCCAAGTGCCCAAAGCAGATTCACTATGCTGTATAATTAATATGCACCAATAAAATGTAATGAAATATGAAAGAATACTCAGACATAGTGGAGAGCAGCTTATTGAGAAATTTATTTATTACTTTAATGAAGAATAACACTTAAAATCTAATTGTTGCTGCATGTTATACATTGTCATAATGTTCTCCTATGAGGTAAAAATAATAAAATATAGATTAAAAATAGCATGCAGAAATTCTGCTCCAAGCTAAAAAAATTCATATTTCATGTCAAAATTTCAAAGCATACTCACAGGAAGTTCTCTTTCTCTAACCAGCAAGAATGTTGTGTTATGGAAAATTGGATTTATAAAGATTATTCTGTGTTGGATGTCTTCATGCTCCAAACATCAAAACAGACTCAGTAGAAAAACAAAATTCTCTACCACAACTGGACTAGATTTAATTTTTCATGTGATATTCTTCTTAGACATTTTACTTGAAAACAAAACAGTACCTATTCTCAAAAGGAATGAATTTTATTTGGCTTATAGCACATAAGAAAGAAAAGAAGAAGATATTACCATTCTAACAGTCAACACCTCTTTAAAAAGTATTTGCTAATATTTAAATGTCAGATAATTCAATTTACAGATGTATTTGTGTGTATTTATATAAATAACATCTATTATCTCTTCATCATTTATCTGTCCATTCAGTGGACAGTTCTTAAATCGACAACTGCACCTACCATTTGTTTCTGTCCTAAGGGAGATTTTTTTTAGTAAATGACTCACATAGAAATTACTTGCTGTGGCTGGGGATAAAGCTTAGTGGCACAAGTGCCTGCCTGGCAAGCGCAAGGTCCTGGGTTCAATTCCTGGTACCAAAAATAAAAAGAAGGAAAGAAATTACTTGCTGTGTAGAGTGTAGACGTGCTGGAACAATGGTGACTCTTGGGGTTTGGACTATAGGAGATAAATGGGATGCCACAATCTGGGAAATAAGAAGAGAGGGGAAGAAGGAGCTATAATGGGCAGAAACATTCACAACTTCTGTTGGTCACGAGAAAAGGAGTGAAAATGACCCCAGTTGTGAATCCCCGGGGTGGGGGGGGATCTGTAAATAATGAAAGCAATGCAATTTGAAAAATATTGAAGAAAATGAGAGTTTTTGTTTGATCTTTCCAGAATGATTTTTGCCTAGGTTGTAGGCAAATGGAACTCACCTGGCAATTCTGGCACTATTTTCCATCCCTCCGTCTATCTGTACAACATCCCTCCCACCCACATGATAACCTGCAGCATAGAAACCAGCAAGAAAGAAACAGATCCTGCTTTCCCCTTGCTCCACAATTTAACATATGATAGCCTGAGGGCAACAGTTAGCTCATTATCTGCTTTAGTAAATAAAATTTCATTGCTGAGCAGCAGTTTCCATTTTTTTACTACATTCACGTTACCTGGACATTCTATTCACAAAGTTTAAATAGTTAATATATGACCCATTCCAGATATAAAATTTCTGATACTTACCCATATAAATAAGAAGATTTAGGTACAAAATTGGAAAATTCATGAAAGTTTGTTAAACCAAATAGTCTAAAATTTTTATTTTAATACAATTTCTATCATTTCAAAGCCAAACCTTCTGCAAATGACTTCTTATAAGAGAAATGCCTACCAAAATTCAAAAATCACTCATTAGGTTTTTTACATCTTATTTTTTCATATTATTAGTCTAAATTTTAAAATTATATAAATTAACAATTTCAAAATGTGGTCTGTTCTTCCTAATTCATTAACTTCTTGTTTGGCTCCACAATTTTCTTTTTATTTTAGAGATGAGAAAAAGAACACATATTAACATTCACACAGATATAAACAAAACAACACATAAAAAATAAAAGCAATAAAGAATTTCAGACAACGTGACAGGAAATTAATTTCCAGGTTTTTTTTTTTTTTTTTTTTTTTTTTTTTTTTTTTTTTGGGAGACGGAGTCAAGATATGGATTTCAGGCTGGACTTCAACTCACTTTGTATCTTTAGCTGGCCTGGAACTCAGAGGGGTTCTCCTGCCTCATCCTCTCCAGTGCTGAGATTACAGGCATGTGCTACCATATC